GAAAGCTTTTGCCTCTGGTGCTTTTGCGACTAGTAACCTGAAGCTTTTTAGGAATATTTCCCAGGATATCTCTTGGATGAAATCAGTCAGAAGTGTTAAACTGTCGTTCTCAACGAATGTGGACCATAAGTGGTAATGTATATTAGGTTGCTTCCTCTATGGCTTCGCATCGGGATTTTTGGCAGAGCAAGTAAAATCAAACCGTAGAGCCACCTAATCGCATCGACTTAAAGGACTGCACACATCTAGCCCATCAACCATTAACTCCTAGCTGTTGAGCACTACCTTCAACATGCACGGTTCGTTTGTTGATCTGAACCTGGTGAGAACGGTTACGTGAGCGCACAGGGGCATGCCAGATATTATTCTTTGCAGATGGGTTTTGAAATGTTCACTCAGTTGTTAGCGTTTCCAGGTCATGAATGTTGAAATCGCACGTAATGTGCATATGGCTGTATTACTAATTTCTCACAACTCTAAGAGCCGATCCTAGTTTTTGGTCCATTTCTGGAGTGGATTTTAGCTATCGGTAATCTACGGACACAAAACAATTATCCTCGTCCTTCAAACATAGCTTGCACCGAAAGAAATCAGTGACACGCGTTTTGGAATCGTCTATAAGCTCACGATAGACCATCCCTCCACTACACGGTCTTTCGTTTTGGAGGATTGACATAACGGGAAGAGTTAGCTCAGCGTTTGTCATCTCACTGCTCAGCCACATTTTAGTGGTCATTATCAAATCCCGATTCACTGAAATCTAACGATGACGGAGTTCGATCAACTTACTATTAAGGCCATGCATAGTTTCCCGGTAACCACAACTGAGTTTTTGTATTTCGAAGGAATGATGTAGATTGTTCGCTTGTTAAATGGTCGAGCACAAGCCGCTTTTTGAGGAGTCATTGGGCTTTGAAGCTTGGTTGGGTTATATGAATACTCGTGGCTATGTCGGCCCTGATGATCTCTCGTATGTAGTCGTATTCGGCTGGATGTTAAGGTTACCATTAGACAGTTCCCTTCAAAGAGCTGTACGACAGGGATATTCACCAATTTGGTCATCCCAGGTGGGTCAATAGCCCCCGTGGTCGTGTACCCCATGCATTTAACAGAATTTCTGTAAGCATCATCTTGGGGGAGGTAGACCCGTTTTCTTAAACAAGCGGTGTCATTATACCAAACTGATGCATCAGCTTCATCAGACCGGTACTGCTCTTCTTCTAGCTGCGTGAAACTGGCATTTCTTTTCAACCACTTAGCAATGATATTATCGAGGGAGGGTTCCCGGCGGATGTAACACCATTGATCCCGCTCGTGTGTCTTCACTTCCTAAGAAGGGGATGCTCAAAGTTCAGGGACTCCGTAAACAATAAACGTCCATTTTTCGTCGGATTTATGAAATTCCGCACGGTTGCTATCTTGATTCGCACGTTCTTTCCGGGGGATGTCTTAAAGTATGCGCACCTCATATGATGGGTCGCAGAGCCGAATGGACGACAGAAGAAAGTCTTCTGCGTCTTTGGTGAAAGTCAGGGTTACCCGGAGCAATCGGGCTTCACGGTAATGCAGTGAATTTTGCTGCTTTGTGACCGGTTTCAGTGTCGTAGGCTCAACCGAAATGCCGATCCCACCACGAATGGGCTTCCACCGGTTTCCGTCTTCCATCGGCTTACAATCTGGGATACTAGACTGCGATTCTTGAACATTGCACCCACAACAGTCAGAGCGCCGTGATTTCTTCTTTTGACCGCAGATTTGAGGATATTAATTGACGCCCTTTTTGACTTTTTGGTTGGTTTTGGAAGCTGCGTCACGCCAGTGTTGCTCGGTGCCGCTATCAGATTCAGGAGTGTTCTCTACGCAGCTTGCATAGGGGTAACCGATGCGTATGATGCCCGACTTTTCTATATGGTGAACGAACTCTGGCTAGTAGGTTTACTCAACGCTACCGACATATCGTGGGCTGCATCGATGAAAGTGGTGGCGGCAGGCAACTTCGATGCTTGTCCACCTATGGTGTGAGGTTAACCAAATGGCTTGGGGACACAGACGCTGCAGAGTGGTTACAGCGTCCCGATATCTCCTGCGGCCAAGCGTCGGAGGCTGATTTGGCTGCTTCAGGTACCAGCGTGGCTATATTCACCTCCAAGGGGGTGACCGATTGCTCCCTAAATACTCGATTGGTTCAGTCAACCTATCGCACTTCATGAGTGCACGTTAACCGTTGACAACTGGAATGACTCGACATGTTGTACAAAACCAAAATGCATTGGGTACTATTTGGGCCGCATTACTTCTAGGACAGCCTTTCCTGTACATTTAGGATGGAACGACCTAATGCAGTTTGAAAACGTCATTCAAATCTTAAATACTACATCGCATATCTCTGAAGGGGACATACAGCGTTGCACCATGCTTGGAAGTTTGGCCGTACTTTTCTGATCACATGCAGCTTGTGAGGGTTAATGTAACTTCAGGGGGTCAGCACTGAGACAAATGTGGCTGGTCCTCGATTTCGCCATCACAGTCGGTCGCTTGTCCTCGGTTATGGTAGGTGGGTTCATTAGGGGAATGCTGCACTCACACGCACACACTCTGGCTGTGTTATCGATCGACACTGGTTCATGTGGGTCTAGACTCTCTAACGTCTATTGTAGTGGTTGGAGTTCAGCGGCTGAATATCACCATCATCATTATACATGTTAGCTAGAGGTGTAAAACATCACATATACTGTGCCACAATACATAAACGAACAAGAAGAAAAAGGAAAGATGCAACCGTTGCATGCCAGCTGAGCTACCAGCAACGGATGGGCATCATCCTGGAAAGCTTCCAGCCGGCCATTGGGCAAGGAAAAATTAGTTTGTAAAATTACATTAATGCTACGAACTGAGATCGTGGTTGAAGAGGATGAGGATGAGGAGGGACAAATGAACTCTCAGCACGAACGCCGCTGAGGTCAGGGCCCAGCAGATGTAATCGGAAGCCACAAATTGAGTCGTAGCTTCTTTAAAATTATATCTGTATGTTTGAGTCTGAGATCACCGGCTGGCGCCGAGAATCCTTTTTATGTTGCAATGCAACAGCTGGGAGAGTTGTTAAAAAACAACTAAGTTGCAAGCTTGATTATGCGCACCAGAAGTGTTAAAACAGCATCGATGGAAGGAATCATGATAATTAGGTAACAGTTCCGTAAAAGGGTGCCCACTGCATACGGGAAGGTAGTCTGACTCCAATGAGTGTATGAGGAGTTTGCTAGGTAAAGATGGGAAAAGAAAAACCCTTGACAGAGAAGAGCGCACTAGCTATGCAGTCGTTTTCTACTCGCTATACTGCAATGTTTACCAAGGTCAAAAATGAAGAGTACGGTTCCACTAAGTGCAGCAATATGGCGCATATACCAGACGTTTGTGTTGCCAAAGCAAAAAGGTCTTTTACATAAGCTCAAAACAGTTTTATTAATGATTACTCCTTACCGTAGCGCCTCGACAACCTGCTTGTTTGCGGAAGCAACCATTTTTGGGCGTAAATTATTGGACCAACATGACCTAGTATGTCTTACACTGACTACCACGACCCTGTAATCTGTTTGGGACGTTTGTATTCATATCTGATTTTAGGAATCTTTTCATGGAGGAGAACTTACATCACTAGTAGCAATGTGCTTCAAGCTTGTTTTCCGACATTCACCTGTCAACTGCTAGTTACTCACAACGGCTTGGTCCTAGACTTGTAGGCTGGAAAATGGCATGCAGCACAGACTACTTTTTCTGACATCACATAACCGGTTTAGCTTACTCTGCTTACATATGTACTGCATGTCCTTGTGAGGTCGCCAGCTTTTCATTTATAATTTTCCAGTATCAGAATGTCTAGATGAGCACATTTGTTCCCTAGGATCATAGCTTTAAGTACCAAAAGCTTGGTAGGATAGTACCAATTATTCGATGCAACGCCGCCATTCTATGTTCAGGCTGTATTTGTTGGCTCTTCGATCAGCAGATTACTGGAACTATTGTATAATCCTTATTAGGAGAGTAAGTTAGGCTACTTCAGCACTACAGAAATTCGTGGAGAATCGGTCGTCTGTGCACCGACACTAACAGTAATTAAAAGACGATTGGATGACACACTCATCCACTTGTCATGAAATTATTTCATGTTCACTCTCGGTGCTGTGAATATAAGCAGATTGCAGACCTACGGAGAAGCAAATGATAAGTCTTTATTTTCATCTTCAACGTACTAACGGTTTTACTGTTAGTACTATTATTATCATCATTATTATTACTTCGATATTCCCACCAACTATCCAACGGGACTTGTAAAGCAAAGCTTCTTAACCCATACAAATTCCTCGTTCATTGTTTACTGTGCCTGGGAAGCCTGGCTAGTTCAAATCTTCGCTCCTGAATGGGTTTGAGTGTTCTTGCAGTATCTCCCATTTCGTGCGCATCCGGGGGTGGTTACAAGGGAAATGCTTTAGCATGTGTTATTACAGTAATACTGGAGCCACTTAACACCTTACATTAATGTTTGTAATTATTTGAGATTTCATCAGAGCCGCTTCTAAATCAGCTAGTCCACACATGTCCGGAAAATCACTAGGCTGCAGTTTCAACCTCTTGGGCATCGTCAGTAGTGCACTTCCATAGAATCTTTGTGGATTCGAAGCCATAGCCATTAGTGGATTGCACCGTCAGTCAGAAGCTTCTGCCAATGAGCCATGGGGACAGCGGCAGACAGGCATGACTTACAGTTATTTGTTCGTTCTCATTGTGGTAGACTGTCTGTTATGTATCCTTGGATGGCAGATACTATCTCAAGATCAGCTACTTTACGAAAGTCCAGCAGAAATGTTCTTCGTTAGCATAGCTAAAGTTATGTGAATGCCAAGAATACGGACTGCATTGAATTTACCTTGATTCCTTCATACCACTATTTGACCTACCGATAGTTTTACTAATTCTAAAAGCAGTAGTTTTCTTTCTTTTTTTAGCTTCTTTGTGGGAATTTTAGTAACTGCCTGCCTTTCCCTCACTTTGACTACGAGTCTTTCCATCCTCGTCGGCATCACCTACTTCTCCGACCGATTGCAAGGCAGATGGCTTCGACCTTATCGCGGTGAGTCCTTTTGCTCGAAGATTTCCATGCATGGCGAGACCGCCGCGAGAGAATCCAACAAAAACTAGGGAATGTTAGTGATGGCGAATCAATAGAGTATGCAAATTTCTGTGCTACTGTCGGTCGGTCTTCGCCTTTTAGTCTGGAACCATGGCCATCTGAGCCAATACAAGTTAAAACACATTTCGAGAACAAGACCATTTGGTGAGCGATTGCTTTAAATGATTCATCTTCAAACCATTACAATCATAAACGGAGGTTGAAAAGAAAGTGGAATCGATTAACTTTGTTAGGGCTACAACGATAGGAGTGAACGGCACCTTAATGGCTTAGTTGAGTGTTACGGAGTTTGTCCGGAGGCAGTGCACCTCTGCGGCTTCCGTTTCCGCTAGGCAGGGAAGCTGAAGTACATGGACCAAATTGATTTTCAAACTTAAGGAGAGGTTAAACAATCGAATGCAAATTACCTCTACCATGACAAGTGTACGGAGCCGTTGATCTTTCGATCAGTGCGGAGCAACCATTTTTACTGTTCTAAAGGCTTCTTTTAGATCCACGAAACAAGGACAAATTGCCAATGCTGACCGCCTCCATGGTTATTGTGTTCGAATGCGCCTGTGTGAAATATATATCGATCAAATGGCGCGGCACTTGCACAAGCGCGTAAATGAAAGCTGCTCAGGTTGGTTACATCATGGTGGGACTGGGGGAATTAGCAACACCGTTCGGACCCATACCGTCGACACTGGGTATAAGGTGAATCTAAAACATGTCTTTAGATTAGTGTACAAGGTTTCTCCTCGCCGATCGAAATGACAACGGTTCAGTAAACTTGTCACGGCCGAGGAAATCTACATTCAATTGTTTAATCCATCCTTATGCACGCAAAGGAAATTACTCCATTCACTTCAGCTTCCTTGGCCACCGAAAACGGAAGAGGCAGAATTTAACTGCCTCTGGTCGAACTCCGTAACACGCAAATAACCCATTGCCGCGCCGCGCACTTTTATCGTTGTAGCCCTAACTAACTTTCTCGACTTTTGCCTTTGTTTATGATTGTAATGGTCTGAAGATGAATCAATGAAAGGAATTACTCAACAAATGGTCTCGTTTTTCTCGAAATTTAACAGGGAATCTTCAAGTTACTTAAAACATTTAGTCGAGACAACGCCGCAATCCATTCTCACTCACACTCGTCTCAAGCCAATGGCACTGCTCCTTATCCCATATAAGTGTAACCGAATGAACACATACCAATTTAGCTGGCTTTTTATCTACGATTTCAAGTTGAATTAAGTGTTGGTCCTAAAGGAGGATCAAGTTAGTCTTCTCCAAAAAGTTGGTCGATGATTAAACTTATGTGGTGGTTAATGCATACCGCAGGTAATATATCTAAAATTTGAAAAAAACGTTTCTTTTACCAATGGGGATGCAATCTCTTGAAGTACGGTTGTTAAATCAGAAAGTAGTGAAGTGCATCCATTTTTGAAAAGAACTGAAGGCAGTTCGTCAGGACCAGGAGATTTGTGACACTTTGGAGGACAGATCTCGTAGGCAACTTCGACCGCAGATCACGGAGATTTGCCTGCACATCAGGGAACACCGTTGGTACAAGGATGGCAACTCGTAAGCAATGGAGGCCGTTGAACTGCTATTCGAAGGGCACTGCCTGACGTACAAACCGGTGTTGGTACTTAGGAATGGGATCATTGCTGCTTTCGCTTACCGATTTAATTGCAGTTGGCTTCACGCCATCGGTAGAGCGAATAAGAAATTACAGCCTACCGAAGTTCCCTAAACAAGCAGCCTGTCCCTTCTCAATGACATACAGCGCCCATCAGGCCTTGCGATCTTCTTTGCTTAGCCGTTTGAGCTCTGTGTCAGTAGCCGTGCGCAATATGTTGTACTTTATACTAGGGTGAATTATCCGGCGGTTTTCCATTTGCTGAAACGGTCTAGCGGCAATCCGTTGGTTGATGGTGCGCCTAGTGAAACTGCAGATGATGATAGGAGACTTGTACGCAGAACACTGGACATGTGTCCGATGCGCCTCAGTATCCGGGGCTGGAGAACTCTTCAGATCAAAAGCTAACCAATTCTGAAAGGTATCGAGAATTTTTCGAATAACAAACCTGGTAACGTCAAGATGTTTCCGACAACGATGTTTAGTGGTACAAAACTGGAAGGCAATTCCAACACACACTGGCGCCTAATCAGAAGTGAGGGAAGTATCCTACTTGCTTTACAGTTCCTTCTACAGCTGTGCCAATGGTCAGTCTCTGTCTACGACTGTCTATGCGAAGGGGGTCACCAACTGAGGCACTGGCACCAAGAGCGCTAAACGCTTGTGTGCCAAGATCAGCACAGGGTTGCGAAAGGTGGTCAGAGCTAACCCGCTTCCGAGTGTCCTGGCCCCACAAACCACCGAGTTGGCTTTTACTAGTTTCAAGTCAACCGACTTGTGCGTTTAAACCTTCTGCGAACCACACGACATCCGTGCGGTAATCCTTATTGAGATCGTCGGAGAGTTGACGTTATGACTCATTTTTGGTACAATCCAGGCCGCAATCTTTGTGAGCATGCATCCTTATGGTAGCCTCGCGGCTGAACAATCGAACGGAGCCATCCAATCGAATCGCCTGTAGTCGGTTATTCACTGGGATCCAATTACTTACAGCTGTATTTGTGCTTACTTAAGGCAGTTTCCACACCGGCAAGGTCTGCGGTTTCAGCAGTTGAATTTCTAGTTACAGGTAATGTGTAAATAAAATAGAACACGCAGAAGGGGATGTCAATCGCAGGATTGTGCTAAAGCTCTATAAGCAGGTTTCAGCAAAGCAACGAATATCGATAGTGCAGCTTTCTAGATTGCAAGCAATAACCACTTTCGATCCCATTTAAATGAGAAGCCGGACATTGCAAGTGTCGACTTGAATTAAGAATAGGAGGCTAAAAAATTCTTATGTTCTCGGTAGACTGGCATCATCATAGTCATTATACACATTAGCTACACATAGCTACTGTGCCGCAATAGATAAAAGAAAAGAACGGAAAATGCAACAGTTGCGTGCCAGCTGAGCTACCAGCAATGGATGGGCATCGTTCCGGAAAGCTACCAGCCGGCTACCAGGTAACAAACTATTATTATGTAAAATTATATTAATGCTACGAACTGAGATAGTGGTTGGAGAGGGGAGCTAAAATGGATAAGCAGGGACCGCAGGAACGTCACTGCTGTCGACTCCTAGTCACGACAGCGATCATATCCAAGCAAACGTGTTCGTCTTCCGTTGGACCCCAACCAGGGAGCTGTGACGCTTCAACTGAGGCCAGATTCGAAATGAAGGCTTCATTCCTCTCGACCAATTTATCTATTGGCAACCTCCACTTCTTCCATCCACACCCCCCGGCGAGCAAATAAAGCGCGTCACGGGAGTCGGTGGGCCGGCATACCTAACACGTGGCAGAGCTACCGGAGCCTGGTGCATGAACTTCTGATGCGGAGCGGTTCAGTTTCTTTTCCTATGCCGTAAACAAAGCGTTGAAGACGCTCGTTGCACACGCGGTGTTCCCACCAGACGTGAGCCAATCTGCGAAGCCACCGAAGGTCGAACGTAACTAGCATCTTTACGTCTTTTGATCTAAGGGGCCAGGTTTCGCAACCGCACCGTAAGATCGAACGTGCCGCAGTATTGCACACTCTACGCTTCAGGGCGAGAGGGATTTCGTGCTGCCACCATACGTGGTAATGACTTGTAAAAGCACCCCTAGCTTTTGCCATACGGTAGGTGACCTCATGTTTGATCCCACGAGCGTTGATACAACTTCCCAGGTAGTTGAATTTTTGTACGACTTCTAGCTGATCCCCACCAAGGGTCTGCGCACTAGCGATTCCTGCCAATCTTAGAAGAAAGCTTTGTACTTCGATAGTGCAAAGCAAAGACCGAAGATGCTGACAGCTAGTGCTAATCTGTCCAGTGCAGCTTGACACGTCTCTGAGTTGGCACAGATGAAGGAATTATGGTCTGCATACTCCAAGTCATGAAGTCGTTCTCCTGGAAGCTGATCCACAACTTCTAAGTCGTGTCCTGTGAACGCGATTTCCATTACTTCGTCAATAGCGAACTTGAATAGGAAAGGTGACAGCGGGCATCTTTGTCGCACACCGCTGGAGACAGTAGAGAGCGACGACAGCTTGCCGTAAGCCCTCACTCTGCCTGAACTACGTGCGTATAATGATCGGATAATATTTACAAATTCCTTAGGTACACCTTTACTGAGTAGACAGTCCCAAAGGGCATATCCATCAACCGAATCGAATGCACCATTAATATCGAGGAACACGACAACGGTGGGCCGCCAATATATGTTACGGTGCTCCAACAACTGACGCAAAGTGAACATGTGATCAATGCAGCCACGACCTCGACGAAACCCGGCTTGCTCTTCGCGAATATGCCTTTAAGGAGTGCCACTCAGTCTGTGAAGGATGACAGAGGCTAGCAATTTGGAGGCGATGGAGATCAGACTGTTTCCTCTATGATTGCCGCATTCCGATCGTGAGCTCCTCTAGATAATTGGGACTATGACGGTGCGGCTTCAGTCGGTTGGGACAGTTTCCTGCTCCCACATTTTGACTACTAATTCGTATAAATCATCAACGACAGCAGGGCCCACGAATTTGTAGAGTGCTGGATGAAGATAACCTGGCCGCGCGGCGTTATTCAAATTGAACAGTCTGATTTAACGTTTGACTTCTGATCGAAAGTGCGAATGCAAAAGGACAATCCAGGAAGCAGGGCGATCACTATTCGCGGAGGAATGTAACAATGCCGGCCGATTGAATTGCTTTTCAAAATCCTCAGCACAACGCTCAAAATGTTTTGACAAATTGTGGATAGGCTGTTCATTCTCGTCATAAACTGTTTCATTGATACCATCTCTCCTGCTTTCCGTTTCCGTATCTGGCGGAATAACTTTCGACCGTTACCAAAGGCAGC